ATATCTCTTCAAGACAGTCTATCGTTTAGGATAAAGATAAGCTAACTTCTTATCGAAAAGTGATAGAACAGAGGATGGAACAGTTTAAAGACGTTGAGCGCGAAAACAAAACGAAACCGCATAGCAAGCAGGGCTTGTCGGCAGAAGAGAAGTTAGACCCGAGAGAAAAGGAGAAAGCCGACACGGTTGAATGGTTACAGGTTGCTTTACTCTCTCCCCTTTCCCCAATCTCGTTATTTTTGTGACCTCTCATTAACATATTCGTACATTTATGATTTTCAGAGTCAGATTCGTTTATTAGAAGGTAAATCTGATAAAACAGAATCGCAGATTGAGTCACTAACTACCACGGAACAAACGAGGAAGAAAGGCAAACGGGATGATCCAAAAAAAGGCGAGAAAGAGGTTTGTTTTCGTAAAGTTTTGGTTGAATCGATTTTTTTTTTTTTTTGCGATTATATTCTGATAGTTATGGTGATACGTTTTCCAGAAATTGAAAAAAATCGAGGATCTGAGGAAGCTTTTGGATCGAATGAAGCTTCATATCTCTAAACTTGAGATTTGCATGAGGCTAGTGAATAATGAGACTTTGGAAAGCAAAACCGTAATGGAGGCTTTGAAAGAACCGTTTGAAATGTATATTGAGGCACTAGATCCTGATAATGAGAATGATCCGGAGAATTATGATCCTGAAACTGCAGGTATGCGCAATAGTAACTCTCCTATTTAATTAATTTTTTTGTTTTATTAACCTGGTGTTTTATAGGCTAGTTTTAATCATAGTATTCACGTGAGATTAGTTACTGCTTAAAGTTTATTTTTTATATATTGTCATTATTTCCTGTACACAGGTCTTCACAATAAAATTCAAACTGAACGATTGTAGGTGTTTATGACGAATTAAACTTGCAATCGTATACTCCTCAATTAGGCGGTGTCTTTGCTGCTGGAGATTCTGAAGAAAAGGTAGAAAGTCGGAGCGATCCTAAAGTTTCACCTAGCGTTTCTCCAACTCCTCCTCTTCCCAAGGTATGTTTTTTTTAAAAGCAAGTTTGTGCTTATGATCCACTAGTTTATATCAGTGGTAATTTGTTTTTGGTGAATATAACAGTTTTATTGCTTTTATTTCATCAGGAAATGGACGAAGTCACTGCAAAGCAGCGACACTCTAGTGGGGATGCGGCCCTTACATTAACACGACAGGCTTCGGTAAGCAGGAGTACTCCGGCTACACCTCTTAAACTTACGAAGTTAGCATCTTCTTGTTGTTGAGTAGAATTTTAAAATCTTCTATTTTCGCTTTTCGGAAATCATTTCGGTCGGTCCACGAGTTTTGATCTTCACCTGTAGCTGGAACTTGTGGGTTTTATTATTTAAGTGTTTTTTATTTTACGTGATTTCATTTCTCAGGATACCAAAGGCTTGTTTCCTCTATACCAGAAAAATTGGGCAGTCAATAGGGAAGATAAATTGTGAAGAGTACTTAGTTTTATGTGTTGTACGTAACAAAACTTGCGATTTTTTACCCGCTTATTGTTTGCCGAGTATGAAGACTCCTTCTAGTTTGGTGGCTCCATATTTTCTTTCAGTTAATAAAGTGATTAAATTCTATTCGTAATAAATGTAGGTCTGTTTTACTACAACCAGCCAAAGGAATGGAGCCACCAAACTGATACAGCCGAATATGACAGCTGGTTTGTGCAGCTTTTTTTTGCCACTCTTCTTTAAAGGAGGAATTGCGGAAAAAAATTGCGATTTGCGTTGTATTTTGGTCGTTTTAAATCTATGCAAAAGCCTCTTGGTTTTCTTTTCGTTTAAGTTTGGGTTGCCACTTTCTTCTAGCTTTTGGAGCGACGCACCAGCTGCATCGCCTTTTTTTCTATCGTTTAACTGGAACGGCGAACTAATTTGGTCCCTGTTGCGAAGGATTTTTGAGGGAATCTTTTCCGTAGAAAACTGTCAAAGCTGGCAGTAATAGATAAATAATTGGTGAACTCTTGAATAGAGGCTAGAAGATTTTATAACAAGGAGATAAACTACTTTTGGTGACAGTTGTTTCGCATAGTTATATTCTTGAGATGGTTATAGTTTTTTAGGCACACTCATGTAGTAGGCCTTTTTTACCGTAAATGTGTATCTAAGAAAGTGAGTATTTTGTGTTATGAAACTTATTTTCTTAATTTACAGAGTTCATTTTGCAGGCCAGCAGGACCCGTTTAAGATTCAACAAGCTAATGTTTACCTTGAATTATAAAACTAACTACACAGTAGTTATCTTTTATTTAATAACAGCAATTACTGCCTTCCCACCACAGTTTTGCACCTTCTTCGTCTATCTTCTGCGTATAATTTTGTAACTGATTTGTATTTGCTAGAATTTACGCATACAGTCAACACTTTCTGGAATCTTTTGCGCTGCTGATTCTGCATTTCACCACTCAAAAATTTCCTTGGTTTCTAGCTCTTTTTTTATCTCCAGTGGTTTGTTTAACATAGAATTTTAGCAGTGTCAGGTTTCATAGAGGTTATTGCCTTGATCCATTTTTTGATTTGGAATCTAACGCGGCGATTTCGGCCGTTGCCTGGTGTTGTCTTCTTTTTCCTCAAAACTGCCTTGATAAGTCAGTTCAGGGCAATATTTCACTACTTTCGGAAGAAGGATTAATCTTTTTAAAATATTTGTCTTTCGTAACAACTTTTTGTCTTGTTCGGCTATTTTTCCATCTTTAAAACATTTCTCCTCTTTGAACACCAAAGTTTCCACAAGTAGTAATTTAATTACTCAAAATTTTTTTTATTACAAGACGGTTGAGTAGTACGTCACCAACAGGCGCTTGCGTTTAAGCATCGCTTGTTGGTAGTGGATGGTGCAGATGGCTGATGTTTCCATTCGCTAGCTGCTGGGTGCTTACCTTTTTTAACTTTCAATTTCATTCACGGATAGATTGGGGATTACCTTTTCGAAGATATTTCTCTTTTTTTCGGAACATTTTTGCTGTTGAAATGAAATAGGATGTTTTACGGGTAAAAAACCCCGAGTTTTTCGGTCTTTAGATAGAGTAGTTCGTCTTTATTTCTTGCTAAACGTCTAGATCTTATGACCATTGATACTTGAAATCTTGCAAAGAAGAAAGTTTTTTGATATGATCGCAGCAGATTTTTTAAGGAAGTGTTGCACCGATTAGAAACAGATTGATAAAGAATATTTTATTTACTTTTTGACAGCTTATGGATTAAGAATTATTTTTAGCTAAAGACTAGCAAAAAAAGTGTACTGTTGCTATATTTTTTTCATTAGGGTTTTGTTTTTGTTGTGGATTACTTGAAATATTAATTTAACTTTTGTTTGATGGATCATGTTTGACGTTTAGTAGAACGATTGTTGAAAGTGGTTGGGTGCTTACTGTCAAGTGGGAATTTTCGTCTTTAATAGATAGTGATGTAGGTGTATTTTTTCAGTTTTTTATGTGGCATGAGTCAAGTTTTAAACATTAATTTTTCATATGCTGAATTTTTCAGTCAGTTGAGTGTTGAAAGCTCATCACTAAGTTCACCACCACCACCTGCAACACCGCCTCCTCCACAGGGAATGCCGTATAATGTTGCTGCCGGTCTTGGTACAAAGACTACTAAAGGAGCTATGGTGCAAAATCTAAGGTATACATTAAGAGAAATTGTCAGATGACATAAATTACCTACAGGAAAGCCGTTTCGTAAATACCTCTATATCTCTTGACTTCGCCGTGTCTCTTCGTTTGTCGTTTTTAATGCAAGACGTGAACTAAGTGGTACAAAGTTGTTTTTGTTTAGTTTTTTTAAGACAGCTAAATGTGAAAGTGAAACTTTTCGGTAAAATTTCCTATACTTTTTCTTATCTATTTTTTTCTGGGAGATATTGCTTTGTTGCTTTATTTTATACTTCTCAAATCCTATTTTTAAATCGCAGTCTTGATTCATTTTTCCTTTGCTTTCTAATAACTTCTGATATCCTCGTAAATGAAAGGCGGCGGGACGTGCATTGAAGTAAAATCAGGTTGCTGTTCGAAAGAAAGTTCTAAGATTAAATGATGTGGAAAAAAAAAACATTTTTGAAATTATAGTTATCTACACCTTTTTTCTTTTTATAAAGGGCAGTCTTTTATCCCTGGACTTACATTTTAACTTTCGACTTATACACCCACTGCTGTAGTGATGAAGTAGCTTTCTACTTCCAGTGTTAACTAGTGTTTTTGCCATGGTAGGATAACAGACAAGATAGTTAATTCCGCTCTTTAAGCTTCTTTTGGTTGAGTTTTGTGTTTTATTAATCATTTCCTGATTTTGGCTTCTACAGAAGTCATTAACCGATTAAATGAAATTGATTAAACGCATAGGACAGGTTTATTGGCGAAAATTTTGCTCTGCATTGCCATTTGTCTTTTTTTAAAGTTTCTAGAGCTCTGTTTTTTTTTTCATTGTTTTTTTACTTGAAATTCCTGGTGTTTTGCCAATTTCAGTTTTCGAAATGTACAGTTCCGGTCCATTTAGTTCTTAACTGCTAGCACAAGTACAGTTTGAAGTTTTTAAGTGTTGTCGGGCTGTCGTTATTAAAATAGCATGTTCTTGTCCTCCCTTACAGTTTTTTATGTTACTTTAGTGAAGTGTTTTGTTTCTTTTTAACCTTTTAATCGACTATTTTGTAGATACGGTAGAAAATCTCTAGAGGTATTTGAACAGTAGTAATTTGAACAAATTGACTAAGACACAACATCTTTGGGGTATTCTCGAGATGTTGTGTCTTAGTCAACTCCGGTATCTGGATTTCCAGGCAGAATTCTTCATAATATTGTTTATTTAGTGCATGTAGGTGCTGTAGTAAAGCTGAATGTTTTGATTTAATACTTTCGGTTGAACCAGAAGCAGCCTGCTGAGTATGCAGCCGATTCCGATGTCCTCTCTTTAGTTCTGATTTGTAGAAACGCAAATGGGTGTTTTTTGGTATCAATAGAAACGAGTGGTTTTGCTACTAGTTTTGATGAGTCATCTTCATACTTTTTCTTAATTTCTTCAGCCTTGTTGTAAAGTTCTGATGACCATCTTGATGTTACTTTTGAAGATAGGATTTGAAAGAATCGTTGAAACTGGAAGTTTACATTGTTTTGCCTTTTTTCGAAACATTGCTTGTTTTCGTGTTGTAATTACTGTAATTAATTAATTAGCATCTTTTTGGACAGGTGCGATAGAAAATTTTATGGTGGAAATGGATGGTTTGGCAAAGAAATTTTTGTTCAAAGACTCCATGCATTTTGAATTCTAGCTTGTATTCGAAATTTATTTTTCGGTGCGTACCGTTCGTTTTTCTCCACAATATAGTGGTTATAACGGACATTGGTACTAACTGACTGAAGAGTTTGGGAGCACAATGGTTTTCAGCTGATGATTTATCACTGTTTTTTAGGCAATTATTCAGTCAAATTTCTTGAACAAATCTATTTGAGTTTTGCATTTTTTTTTTTTTCTTACGAGTGCTCGAGAGCTTTTATGCAGTTTAGTTTTAGTGAATTTCTTTTATGTTTATGGGGGAACACTTTTTTTCAGAAAAACTGTGTTCTTGATGGACAATTTCACTTTTGATCCGTCATTTTTTGTTGTATATTAGGTAAGCTTTTTAAGGAAATTGATTTGAGATTGGTCACATTCGTGGTTAGTAGGAAACAGTGGGAAGCTCATCTCGTGAGAAAGTATATTCTGTTTCGTTGGTTAAGCTCTTTGTTGAAGTTTTTCCAGTGAAATAAGTTATCTCCTCTTAGTAAGGTAAACAGATCATGGAAGATCTCTTGATCTGTGTCTGTAACAACTTCACTTCGAGATAGAATTTTAGAAGAAGGAATTATTGTTTCTGTAAAACTTCAAAAAGTTTTTTTTTTTTTTTTTTTTTTTTTTTTTTT